CCCCCTGACCGTTCCCAACTCCCCCAGACCCCTCAGCGCTGGCTCAGCCCGACTCTTCAACCCCCCCAGGGATCCCGGGGACTCCCCCCTGCCCTGGGCAGCCCATTCCAACGCCCAACAGCCCCTTCTGCACAGAAATCCTTCCTCAGAGCCAGCCTGACCCTGCCCTGGGCAGCTTGAGGCCATTCCCTCGGGGCCTGGCGCTGGGGCCTTGGCTCCAGAGACTCATCCCCCCTCTCTGCCCCCTCCTGGCAGGGAGTTGCCGAGGGCCAGGAGGTCTCCCCTCAGCCTCCTCTTCTCCAGACTGAACCCCCCCAGTTCCCCCAGTCGCTCCCCAGCAGACATGTGCTCCAGACTCTGCCCCAGCTCCGCTGCCCTTCTCTGGCCACGCTCGAGTCACTCAATGGCCTTTTTGGGGTGAAGGGCCCAACTAAGTGCCTACTGAGGACGGTTGTCAGAAAGCCGACGAACAGATGACTTCAAAGAGTTTTACCTCTCCTCCTTGGTCCAGATCCATGGTCTCCAAGTCAGTGTCCATCCGGGACTGGCGCACACGCTCCCGGCGAGAGCGTTCCTCCTGCGTGAAGGGATGAGAATTCAGCCCCGGGGAAGAACAGCTGAGCCTCCTCCCTGAGCTGCCAGACTCTCCTGTCACGCGTGGCTGCACACCCTGCGAGCCTGCACAGCCAGAGCACCACACGCCACCATTTCTCCCAATTCCAAACATTCAGGTAACCAGAGCCAATGATTTTTGGCAGTAGGAACCAGTGCCCCAAGACCGGGACATAAACTTGTCTTCCAGGAGAGCAGACAAAAGGAAACAGGGAGTGAAAACACACAACCCTGCAGTGCCCCAGCAAAAGCCCAGCCTGCTGCGTGCCTGTAGCGCTCCTCAAACACAGAGACACCAAAGTGACCCCTCACATCAACACAACCAGGGTGTTTTCTTCCAACAAAGCAGGAATATGGGATTAATCACCCTCAAAACAACCCTCAAATCAGTCATGGAACTGCTATCATCCAAAGGCCAAGCAGAACTGACACTGCACGCCAATAAACCTGTTCTGAGTGTCACATTCCAAGCCCAGGTAATTAGGAGTTGATTAGGTGTTTTACTGTGGTGAGCCACACATCGAGGAGGCCCAGAGGTGAAATAGTGCTGGTACAAGACAGTTAACACCAATTCAAAAACATGAAACCTGCAGATATTGACATTTCCCAGAAAAAGCAGACATCTGAGTGACTCAAAACTAAGAAGTGGTAAATATATCGCTCTCTCAGCTGAGTCTTAACCATCACCTAAGCAACGTTTCCTACGGTTTCAAGATCCCAGCTGAGTCAGCAGGCTCCTCTCTCACGAACAGCAAACAAAACACAGCCCAACAATGACCGCAGACAGCAGCAAGGATCCCACGATTCCTCCCTCATCCGGCCCGAGGTTCCCTCCAGCCTTACCCGGATGAGATCCTCCTTCTCTGTCTCGTGCAGCTGATACAAGAACTTCGACAGCTCAGGATCCGCTTCCATCTTCCCCATTATTCTTTCTTTTTCAGCTTCACTTTGTGCACTGGCCAGCAAAGTGCAGTACAGGACTGACGAAAGAAAATTAAGGGATGGCGGGTGGGGTTAAGGATTGAACCAAAAGGGAGCAAATAACAAAGGGCCAAGCTTCACAAAGCAACACCGATGGCAGCTAAAAAGCCTCGGGTTGTGCTAGAATCATGTCAGAACTGCAGGGAAACAAGGTGGGACAGTCAAAGTGAACGCCACTCACTCATCATGCGGTGCTGCCGCAGGACTTTAATGAAGTCGAAGGTGTTAAAGCCCAGGAGCAGAACAAGCTGGTTCTCACACTCCCGGTCGTCGCTCGCAGTCTGGGAGGAGAAGAAACAAGGAACGACCGGTTACCTCAGTGCCCCACAGAACAAGAATCCCTGCTTTGCACAGAACTGAACTCAAGTGGAGCTTAACAGCAACTACACACAAGACCGAGTGTCCAACCCTAAAACCCGAGTCCCCTTCTTCCCCACCGAGTCACGACGCCCAGCACACACAAGCATCAGCACCAAAATTAGCAGGGAAACAGACCCAACTTACAATGATCTCTCAGCAAACGCTCACAAAAATCCAATTGTTTTCCCCTTAGAAGAAGATTTCTGTGGATTAAGACTAGGCCCACCCTAGTCCAGCACTTATCTAGATTGTTGGCAAACACAACAGACAGCCAGTGGCATTTACTCTGACACGGGTAACGAGTTCTTGGGGCAAATTCACAGAATTCCAGAATCATTCAGGTTGAAAAAGCCCCTCGGGATCACCGAGTCCAACCCTCAGCCCGACTCCACAAAGCTCTCCCCTACCCCACATCCCCCACAGCTCATCCCAACGGCCCTGAAACCCCCCCAGGGATGGGGACTCCCCCCTCCCCGGGCAGCCTGTTCCACTCTCGGACCACTCTTGCTGGGAAACATTTTCTCCTCCTGCCCAGCCTGACCCTCCCCTGTTGCAGTTTAAAAAAATTCCTGCCTTCCAGAGAGGTATTCTGAGGGCACCACAATCCTGCAGATCAGGTGGCCACTGACCTTCAAGATCTCCAGCACTTCATCCGCCTTCTTCTGGGAAACAATGGCATCGTCATAGAAGCGGCTCAGCTGCCGCTGGAGCCAGAAGGCGTCGATGTCTCGAGGATGCAGATCCTTCTTCTTTGAACTCATCAGCTCCCCCGATGCCACAAGCTTAAGAAAAGCCCACCAAAAATGTTATTTTCCTGCAAGAGGAAAGCAGGCACGCGGCCTCTGCAGTCGGAGGGAAGGCCTTGGGCCTCTCTCTACCCTGGCAGAGGAGCGGAGAACCAGCAGGTGCAACCGTACGGCTGCCGGAGTTGTTAATTTTATTAACATTCATTTTGGTCTCCATCAGACAACAGCTTCAAGGCTCCTCTCCACCCACAAACGACCTTAACTCCATCTACAGACCAACAGGATCCCCCACCCTCCTCCAGAGCACCTCAAAAATCACATTTCACGTGTTCCTCGGTGACTCACGTTGGCCGAGAGGGTGCAACGGACCACGGCTTCATCTCCCTCCATGTCATCATCAGACGCCTCGTCGCGCACTTCGCCATAAATGTCCTCATCACCTTCCTGCGGGAAGGAAAGTTCCAGTAAGTGGCTTTTGCAAATCTCCAAGAGAAGCTTTTCCTCGACAGAAATGAATAATCTGGCAGCTCATTCCCGAGGGGAAACAGCCTGCCTTGTGCTTTTAACAGGAATATAATGCTGTCGTCCAGGTAAAGGACCACGTGATAAGATTATTTCTACTCTCTACAGAGAGGTTTTGCCAGCAACTCCCCCAACAGTCTTGTATTTATCTCTCTTATCGTTCTCTCAGCCTCTTCCAAAAAAACAATTCCAGGGAGTGTTTCGATGAAACACTTCCAACCACCGCATTTGAATTTCTCTCTTCCTCCCGATGTGTCAAGTCTCACCACGAGATCTAAATATCACCATCTGTTTTCCATCGTACTGACTCATGATAAGCCTTGGATTAGCAGGATAATCAACAAATCCTCCCCAAACCGGGAAGCAGCAGCTAAAATAATCCGGCTTCTACTTCCTGGCAGAGGCAGCCCAGTCCCAGCCAATGCCCCATTTCCCAGCGTGGCCAAGTAAAATGGGACGAACGCAGTCCCCACGGAGCAGGGAGGGGACAGGACAGGGCCTCCACTGCCACGCTGCAGCCTCCCAGCTCATACCTCCTCATCAGACTCGAACTGCACGTTCACCCCGTACGTTTCATCAATATTGTCGTCTGCAAAAGAGAGCGGAGTTAGTTCCTTGGAAAATCTGGGCACCACATGCAAGGTTCACAGATCCACACGCCCGCCCACACCTCTGCGCAGCCAAAAGATGTAAGGAACGTGGTTTGGGAGCTTGAAAACTGTCCAAACATTTTTTCTGGCTTCTCTGTATGCAAACACACCCCAGACTAAGGCTGGGTTTGGCACCACTAACCCAACTTTCTGCCAGTCCCTGAAGCCACGGCCTACAACACCACCTTCCATACCCATGTTCTGGATCTCCTTGTCTCCGCCGTAATCTGTGATCTTCTTCCCCAGGTTCACCAGCACGTGGTAGCGGGTATCATCAGTCTGTCCCAGGAGCAGATCGATCTCCTTCCTCCTCTCCTTATCACGCAGTTTCTCGTTCTTCAGCACCGCCAGGACCTCGTCGGCAGCTCCGCAGAGGATGTCACGTGGCTGCAAAAGGAATAACGTGTTGGGAAGAGGAAGAAATTTGGTACGTGAAGGGTACGGGGTCGGTCCTTCCTATTTCTGGACCCTCACACAGGCACCAAAAGGCCGCTCCCACAACAAAGGCACCAGCACAAGCAAGCCCAAAAGCCAGCACCACCAGAGTGAAGCCATCCCACGGGATTAAAGGGAAGAACTAAAACAGCCGAAGGCCAGATCTTACAGGCTTTGAATCCTCTGTCAGAGCAGGGACAACCATCCTGAGGCGTCCCCATCCTCACCTGGTCCCCAAGAGCTGCCTGAATGAAGCTCAGCAACACCTCGTAGGTCTCACGGGTCTCCTTGGTTTTGGGTTTGTAGATGATGCCCACCATCTCGTCGATGCCCTCGGAGAGCAGGGTGTAACCCTTCATCTTGTTGATGTCATGCCTGTCCTCGTCACGCTTTCTTCTCCTGGAAAAAGGGGCAGGGGAGGAGAGCGCCTGGGTCAGCCCCATGGCAGAGCCCTGCTTTGCTCCTTCAACTATGGCTCATCTCTTTTATTTGAAAAATCAAAGAGGAAAAATAGATATTTTTTGAGTTTTCACTTCCATTTTAGTTCCTTGACATGGAGCAAGTGACTCCAAATTAAGAAAACAACAGCTCTGCGCCCTCCAAGTTGGCAGTTTTTAGTCTGCAGCCCCATGCTCACGCCACCAAAACATTTTCCACCACAAAATGTTCCCAGCACCGCTGAATTCTACCCCGTTCGCAGCACTAAAACAAACCAAGGCTGCGTTAGGCAAAGACAGGAATGAGAAATTAACTGCCCAGAGTATTTTTCATGCAAGTACAGTTCTCTGTCAGGGCTCCACACCCCCTCGGCACCGAGCTCCCACTCACTTGGCTCGTCTCTCCTCCTGCATCTGGGGTTTGGTTCTCTGGGCCTTGTCGCCCATGCGGGTCCCCTCCAGTTTGCCCACCAAGGACAGGACTTCCCCCGTCGGCTCATCCCGCCGCGTCCGGTCGATCAGCGAGCGGTCGGCTTGGAGGACGAGGTTGGAGTTCTGCGAGAAGAAAGATCAAGGGATGATGGGGGGCCGGGGAGGAGCTCCCGCAGCTCCCACCGTGCGGCTGACGGGGGTCCCACCGGCGGGGCGGCCCCACAAGTTTGCAAACCGCCACACGCGCAGTTTCTTTTAATCTAACGCGCTCCATGTGGGTCGAGATACGAATCATTTGCTTTTTAATTAAACAGGGTGCTATTTTAACCCACCCCACCAGGCGCGGGTTTAGATTTTAAGCTGGGACTGAGCTGCTCGGCACCACCCCGGGGCTTGTTTCAGCCGGGAGAACCGGCACGCTCCTCGCCCGGGTGCTCCGTTAGATCTCGGTGCCCGGAACGTCCCGCTTGGAGGGGGAAAAGTCCGCGAATAAAACCCCAAAAGACGGTTCCGGTCCTCACAAACACCTCCCCGGGCCCGGTAAAGGGCCGCTACACCGAGCTCTCCTCAAGCAGGCGGCTTTCGCGCGGAGAACCGGGGCCGCCACGGTGCCGGGGGGTGTGTCTGAAGGCCCCCCCTGGGTTAACGGCACCGGGGAGGGCCC